CTCTCTCTCTCTCTCTCTCTCTCTCCCACAGTGTGTGGTGTGTGCCGCTGCTCTCAGAGGCCAGAGAGAGTGTTGGATCCCTTGGAACTGGAGTAACAGACTATATGAATTGTAAGTCAGTGCTGGGAAGAGAACTCGGGCCCTCTGGAAGAACAGTAAGTGCTCTTAACCACTGAGCCGTTCCTCTAGCACACATAGTTAGACTTAAAGCAAGGATGTGGTGAGCTTTTCTACTGATACTCTCTATTATTCTCCAAGTATTAAACTGGGACTATTCAGACCAGGTTTTTCTTCAGACAATGAAACAACATGTGTAGTTTAAAATTTGTGTAATCCATTATAGCGATGGGAAGGCAGGGGAGATAGTCAAGTCCTTGTCTTGAGAACCTGAGAGCCTGATTCCGATTGCCAGAACTCAAGCACACAAAGCTAGACATGTTGGCTCACTTCTAACCCCAGTGCTGAGGAAGATGACGTAGGTTTGCTGGTGGTCAGTCAGCATGGCCTGCTTGTTAAGTTCCAAACTAGTAAGAGACCTTGGGGGTAGGGGAGGATAGAAAGAGGTGAATGGTGCCTCCTTTAGTTAGGGTTTCATTGCTGTGAAGAGACACCATGACCAAGGCAAGTCTTATAAAGGACAATATTTAACTGGGGCTGGATTACAGTTTCAGATGTCCAGTCCATTATCATCAAGGTGGGAAGCATGGTAGCATCCAGGCAGGCCTATTGTTCTAGAAGGAGCTTCGTGTTCTGTACCTTGATCTAAGGTGAGACAATTGGCCAGGAGAGGCTCTTTTTCCACACCTGGTGGAGCTTGAACATAGAGACCTCAAAGCCCACTCCAACATTGCTATACTTCCTCCAACAAGGCCACACCTACTCCAACAAGGCCACACCCATGCCATCAAGGCCACACCTCCTAATAGTGCTACTTCCTTGGCCAAGCTTTCAAACCAGCGTAGTGCCTAAGGAAGGATGTTTGAGTTTGAGGTTGTCCTCTGTCCTACAGACTCAGGAACACCCCCTCCCCACACCCCCACACACCTATATGTGCACACATGAACATGCACACACATGTACAATCCTAACGGGAGGATGCTGTCTCCAAGCTCCTCAGTCCTCCCAGAGGCAGTAATTTTCCACTGTAAGACTGTATCCATTGGGCACACTTGAGTGAAGTCTCCTCACTCCGCAAGGGAAGTAGAAGGCACTTGGCAAGGAATTTCTGAAACCAGCAGTATTTTTCATTTGCATATCGTTAGGTGATTTGCATGCTAGTTAAGTGAAGGATGCTGCAAATGCATTTTTCATTTACATTACCGAGAGGAGGAAATTAGAAGACGACAGGACGTATGTGAAAGCACTTCATAAAGTACTCTCAGAATGTAGCACTTCAGTAGAAAAATCAGACAGAAGCTTGGGGGGGGGGGAATCATATTCTCAGGAATAGCCGAGAGGCACAGAAAAAATACTCACTTATAAAACTGGCATTGCAAATTACCAGGTAAGGTGTTACACTAAATATCTTACCATTCGATCTTGTATACGCTGAGGTGAAGCGATGGCTAAGGTTTCAGCCAGGTGTGGTGGTGCATGGCTTTACCCAGGGAGGCTGACTCAGGGGGATCTCTGTGAGTTCAAGGCCAGCCTGGTCTTCACAGTGCATCCAAGTCAGCTGGGGCTACATAGTGAGACCCTGTCTCAAAAAGGAGGAGAGGGTAGAGAGAGTATTTATATTTATATTTATATTTATATTTATATTTATAATTTGTGTGTGGGCAGCATACATGTGTCGCAGCTTATATCTAGAGTTCAAAGGGCAGCTTATGGGAGTCTGTTCTCTCCTGACATCTGGGTCTCAGGGATTAAACTCAGGCTGTCAGCCTTGTTGGTAAGTGCCTATACCCTCTGAGCCATTTCTCCAGCCCCAGGATTATTGAAAGCCCCAAACAGAACACCAGATATTTACTTCTCTTTGTTTTTTTTATTTTGGAATAAGAGTATCTTATTTGTTTAAAAAATTTTTCAAATTGCATATATTTCGTATGTGTATGCATGCATGCACCCGTACCATGGCTCACAAGTGGAGGTCAGAAGATAGCTTTCTAGAGTTGGTTCTCTCCATCCACCACATGGGTCTCAGGAATGGGACTCAGGCAGCCGTTCATGCTTAGTTCGCAGCACCTCTACACACTGAGCCGTCTCTCTGGCCCCAAGGCCATTGTGTTTATTCAAGCTTTACACTCTTGTATTCTATTATAGAAAAAAAAGTATCATTGGATTTCATTTTGAATAGTACCTCCGTTTCCTTTTCTCTTACTGGGCTGGCGTTGGCCTTCTCAGTCTGCCTTCCTCACATCTGAAATATATTTGCACTCTTCCTTCACCTCCTCTATCCTCGCCCATGGATGATTTCTCGTATCATGTTTCTCTCTTTGTGTCAGACACGCTGTTTTCCCTATTCCTTGAGACCTTAAGGAGTACATTTTCATTTCTAGACCCTTGTTTCTCTTCCAGTATACCTGCTCCTTATCTCCATCCCATCCCACAGCCTCGGTGTGCTTTCCCATCTTCATAAGATATTCTTTACACATCTGAAGTGTATCGGTGTTAGATCACTCTCAGGCGTTAACTCTTCAGCATTTGTCTTTTTGATAACCCTTTTTCACGGTAGTCATATTCCTATGAACTCAATAGTGTGTTGCCAGTATTATTGTGTGTTCCTCTTCAGGGGTACTTGCAGAAAGGTTCTATGCTGTGGATTGACCTGTATCCTGCTCCCTGTTCATATGTTGAAGCCTAAGGTGGTTATTTTTAATGCCTTGACCTGACAGGACCATTGGATGCCCAGAAGGATAGTTTTACACACGATGTACCTGTGAGGGTTTCCAGGAGAGATTAGATTTGGTTGACGGGCAAAGCAGATGGCCCTCTCTGAGAATACCACGAGAGCGTCTACAAGCCTAGGGGGAGAGTCTTTAGGAGAAACACCTTGATCTTAGCATTCCTAGCTTCTGGGAAAACTATGAAGAAATTAATTTCCATTATTTAAGGTACCCAGCCTGTGTTAGTTCTCCTTTTCCTTGTTGTGACCCAAATATCTGACAAGGAATAACTTAGGGAGGTAAGGGTCCATTCAGACCCGCAGTGTGAAGAGATACAGCCCATCATGACAGAGGAGGGCACGGGAACCAGAGTGTGAGGGAGTGGTCACTCGGCATTACCAGTCAGATTGCAGATTCGGGAATGCTGGGATCCGCCTCATATTCTTTATGTTCAGCCCAGGACCCCAGCCCATAGGATGTTGTTGCCACCGACATTCAAGGGAACTCTTCCCTTTTCAGGAAAAATCTTTCTGGTAACATGCTCATGAACACACCCAGAGATGTGTTTCCATGGTGACTACATCCAGTCCAGCTGATGATGAAGATGAATGAACCATCACACAGTCTACAGAGTCTCTGTCTATCTATCTATCTATCTATCTATCTATCTATCTATCTATCTATCTATGTATAAACACTAGAAAATTACGATGTTTTTCAACCCCCAAGTATGTGGAGACCACAGAACACTTTTGTGTTTATGTCTCTTAAATCTTTCAGGGCTTCAAAGGTTTGTATCTATTTTAACCAATTTTTATGTTAATTTATTTACACAGAGTCATTTTCTAAGAAAATGGAGGTAGGGTCAGCTTTCCAAGCAAAGAGTATTAATTCAGTCCAATGAGCATGTGACCCAGGGTGGTGCAGTGGTTTCCCTTCAACTGTGCCCATTTCAAGGCTCAGTCCCTCTTCCTGACTGACTGACTCCTCAGGCCAGCGATGGGGTTTCTCTGGCTCTGCTACAGCTTCTGGCCCTTACAGGGGGGAGGGGGGCTTGTTTAAGTGATTCTAAGGTCTCCTCATCTACCCTTGGGTGTGTCTGGTTCCCGCCCATCCTCCACAAGGTGTTTTATCCCCCTGCATCAGCCCTCCTGTTCCAGCTTCTGTTTCTTAGCTGGCTTCTGCTAACCGAAGAGGTATAGTAGGAGGCAGGCTCTTCTCAAGTCGTATCTGAAACAAGTTTGCTTTCCAGTATGTATTGGAAAGAGGAGCTTTTTTTTTTTTTTTAATCAAACATTAGAAGCTACTTTGCTGTTGTGAAGTAGACCAAGGAAATTACCTGAGTGATAGAGCTGGGATGTAGCTCAGTCCAGCACTTGCCTTGTACACAGGAGGTCCTGAGTTTGATCACCAGCACACCATAAACTTGGTACGAAGCTATCAACCTGTGAACTCTGGACTCAGGACATGGAGGTAGAAGATCACAGATGCATGATTACATAGTCAGCTCAGGGACAGCCTTGGCTACATGTGGCAGTATCTCGAAATACATAAACAGATAAATAAACAAACACTATGCTAGTAGTTAATTAATGACTATCATGACTATGCATATAGCGATGTTCTATAGCTGTAACATATCCAGAGAAGGACAAATATGTGAGATATAGAGAGCTAGAGAAAGATGAATCAGTATATTTAAGTTACATACATTTAAATATGCACTTACTGTCTGCACAGCTATGAATTATTTTCTTGTCATCTGTTGGGTGGAACTTAATATGTTTCATGTTGATGCTTTCCCTGTACACATAACTGGACAAATGAAAATAAATGAGCGTCTGTAATAACCCCAGATCTCGAGTCTTTAGTGTGCAGTCAAGTTTCTCAAACTAATTTTCTCTTGTAAAGGCTCCCCCATCTCCAGTGAGTTCTTCATTATCAAGAGGGACTCGGTGTCCCTCCACCCCTCTGGCTCTCTGAAGTCTGAGTATGATAAATGTGTACAAGAGCCCAGATCGCCACACTTCCTGCTGAAGGGTGTCCGACAACAATCTCGGCAGCATGGAGCCATCAGTAAATAAGTGTGAGCTGGATCCAGACAGAACAGAGGAGGAATGTGTGCTGTGTGGTCATTACCAGCTCAGCCTAGAAGAGTGATGGCTCATAAGATACTGTGGGGAAGAGGTTTTTGTTTTTTGTTTGTTGTTTGTTTTCATTTGTTTGTTTGTTTGTTTATCTTTTGAATAGATTATTCCCATGTTTCTGTAGCCATCATGTAACTATAACCATAGGAAGGGACCTGAAGGGGACCATGAATGAAGTACCAATAGAAACCAGGATTCTGCCTCTCCACACTCCCCAGTTCTAACTTCTATTTTGCCAGTCATTCAAGGTGACATTTTAGCCGGATACGGTGGTACAGATGAATAACCCCAACAGTGAAGAGACTGGGGGTCCCCCCCCCAATCCCCAAAAAAGATTCTGAACCAACAGCTGGGAAATCTTCTGGGAGTTTCTTGAATATAGCTTCTCAGGCTCCATGACACAATTTGCTGAACCAGAGCCTAGAACTCTTTCAGGACCTGGAGAGTCCCAGGCACACCGGAGTTTGAGAAGCCATGGTCTAGATGACTCTTGCTGTGGTACACACTTGTAATCCCAGTCAGTGTTCAGGAGGCAGAGGCAGGAGGATTGGGACTGTGAAGTCATACAGTGAGAAATAGGAAAAGAAAAGCAAAAATGCCCAGTCTGGAGAATTATCATCTTCACCCAATAAAGTTCATGTTAACACTGACCCTTGGATTCATTAACATTACCTGAAGAAGAGGAAGGCTTCTCATTGGCTCACCCAGTCAGATGTAGTGCTATATATGTATTTATTAATACTAATACATATATTAATAAATTATATATAAATATTATAAAACACCATGGCACTTTGCTTGCTGTCATCAAGGACCACAGAAGCACCTTGCTCTCCACAGATACTCTATTTTTAAGTCTATAAATGAGCCAGAGATACTGTTTCCACTCAATCTAGCACGAATAAAGTCGCACTTCCAATCTTTCTATTAGAAGCAAGGCACAGCCTCCTCTCAGGTTAATGGTTCCTCTCATCAGACTTTCTTCGGTGATCAAGCTGCACACACTCATTTCTTTTCTATGACCCATCTTCTTTGCTATGATTATTTGTCCTTCTAATATTAACAGCAATTAGACTCACCTCATGGTATGTCCCGCCGAGTCAATCTTCGACTGTCAGAGCGGGGTGATCTTAGTCTTGCCTCAGTAACGGACTTTGACAACCAAAACAAAGTGTGGGCAGAAGACACGAAGAGAATTAGCAACAAAATATCGTGGGTGACACAGAAAGACATCTCGGTGGCTTCTGTCTTTTCTCAACCCATGGAAAGGATGGCATTCATTCCTCTGGGACTACGGCAGGGACTGTGGCATTGTCTTCAGTATTTCTCTGGAATGTTTGAAAGGAAAACTCCTTAAAAGCCATCAAAACATTAGCATTCTCTTTCCAAGTCTAATCTATTTAATTTTATTGGAAAACATTTACATAGCTCATCAACAGACTCTCTAGTATTGGGTAATATTTAGCATGCTGTAATCACAGGAAAGAGAGATTTAGATTAAATGCTGTGTTTTTTTTTATTAAAATTCAATCATCATAAGTTGTTCTACTTTTTATCCTTTTAGTCAACAGATTTCAAAGGAGGGAAAATATCTTCATTTGCAAGCATACCTGTATTTATCTCCTATTATATTTTCCATTAGTGTCTCCATGAGATTTATTCCTGGTGATTTTCAGTAAAGTAAATGTGAATCTGCTCATGCCAGATGCTAATAACCAAGATGAATGCATCCTATCTCTTAGGGATGTTACAGGAATAAATTAGATAATATTTACAGGGGGATTTGACCATACTAGAGGTAGTATGGAGTTGAAATATTTAAAAAAAAAAACATTTAGAGAGCAAAAGGACTGTTCAGTTTTAGCCACACTGACTATATGGTACCAAGGTGTGTTTTGAATGAACTCACGGGGCTTTGCTGGATAAACCTCACATCTGACGGAGCCAAGTCTGAGTTGGTTCAGCTCAGGCATCAGTTTCAATGTGCAAAACGGGCTCTTCTCATCTTTCTTTTCATTTACATGTATGAAGCCTGGTGTACTGGTGAAGCCTTGTGTATGTTGGGTCCATCACCAAAACTGTCTTAAGCCTCTTTCTGGATTTGATAATCTATGTCGATTGTAGACAAGGAGGATGCACGGCTTTAGATTTGTTAATATTGAAACAGTTACACTGTCTGTCTGTCTGTCTGTCTGTCTGTGAACGTGCATGCATGAGTGTACATATATGTATGTGCATACACACCTGTATGGAGCCTAAAAGATGTACTTCTAAGAAATCTATCCTCTCCCGCCCCCAAGACCTGATCTCTCATTGAACTGGAGCTCAGGAAGTCGGCTAGGATCATTGGCCAGCGAGCCTATGGCTCTGCCTGTCTCCCTCTCCCCAGGGCCGGGACTCTAAACACAAACCATCAAGTCAAGCTTTCTTAAGTTTTCGATCTGAGGGCTAGACTCAGGGCCTCACGCTTGTAAAGCAAGCACGTTACTGAGTTATTTCCCCAGCCCCATGTTACATCTGGATCATCCAGAACCAAGCTGTAGCTTTTAGAGGGACAGTAGACAGAAGAAGATCGCAGTTATTCCATAGTAAAGGCCGGAGTGCTCTCATAGAAATAGGTTCATTATCAGTTACAGTCTTAGCACTGTTCCCATACAGTTTTCAAACATCCTTCTATGCTAGACCAGTGCACAATGCTATGTCAAGAAAGTGGTGGTGTATTCATTATAAAAGGCAAGATATATATTACATATTATATATATGTGTGTATACATATACATTATACATATACATACACATATGTGTGTGTGACTATTATGTGGAGCAATGCAATAAAGCAATACTTACTGCATACCTACCACAGATAATGCACAATTTGAAGCATGTCATGAGATCCCCTCACTAACTTCCTCTCTCAACTGTACGAAGTAGGTACTAGTATCATTCCAAGGTCATAGATATAGCACCAGGCCAAGAGATATTAAAAAGCCTGCCCAGGTAATGCAGTTCATCAATGGAGGCATCCGGCGGCACGCACCCGTGCTCTACGTTCTGACTATGACTCCTGCCTCTTTCTCCATGAATATAGGAGCACCAGAGAACCTCAACTGGCAACCAAGCCGGAAACAAACAACAGCACACATTTCATATTTAATATAAGGGGAAATGCCAAAGCTAATCATTGTCAGAGTGTATCTAACCGGTGGCATCTGTCTGAAAGAGCCAAGATTATGACAAATAAGAGGCCCCCCTCTTGCCAGTTCATACAGAGCTGGACTCACAAACAATAAGAGTTCACAGTACAATCACGGTGTCAAAATTATTCACCAGGAAGGGACACTATACAACGTACCAAAAGGACAGCTCTCTTATGGAGATGATGACAGATCTTGGAGAGAAACGAGACATGTGACATAGAGGTGAAATTTGCCATGGAAATACTAGTGGCACTTAAGTAAACAGCTCCAAGCGACGGGCATCTCAAACGCTATCATTTGCTTTTGTAAGAAGGGACAGAACAGTAGGATGCTGAGACTTCATGACATACCCGATATGGAAAAGGACTTCACGATGCTTCTCTAATAGCTGAAGAATATTCTATAAATTATTTTCATCCCCGACAGAATGCTGTAATATGATTAAGTACAAACTGTTCCATAGCAACAGACATCATATCGCAGACAAGAGCCTGTGTGCCTCCCTCGAAGAAAGCGTTTAAAGTCATAATAGACAAACTCTAAGTGTGGCTCAGAATCCTGTCATCCGGAAGCCAGGTTCTACAATGAGCTTGAGACAGGGGACAGAGGACTCACTGTAGACCTCTACCCCCCTTCCTTTGGCTTTCTTTCTTTCTCTCTCTCTTTTTTTCAATGTTTGTCCCCAAGGTTTTTAATAAAAATCATTCTTTTTGTACTGACTTTTAAAATAAATGCTGTCTTAAGGGCACACAACACACTCCAGAGATGAAACAAGACTGGTTGGCAAAGATGGCTGGAAAGCCAGGGTTGACAACACAGGTTCAATTCCTGGGACCTATACAACATAAATTAATTCAGTATATTACCCCATAATCTTAGGCTCACATATACCCGGCACGAAAAAATGAGACCTAACACCTTAGCTTTGTAGTTAAAAGCCACAAACAAGCAGGGCAGGGTGGCACACATATTTAATTTCAACACTAGGGAGGTGGCTTCTGGGTTCGAGCCCAGCCTAATCTACAGAACAAGCAGCGCCACAGAGAAACCCCACAATCCTAACTAATACATTGACTTCTGTGAAAAGAATGTTTCACATACTTCTAATTATCCATGTACCCAGAACAGAGGTTCTCAGATTAATTAATCCCCTAGATCCAAAAATTCCACCCATGGGGCAGACAACAAAAAGGAAAACGGAAACCTGGAGGCAGTACTGCAACTTTATTTGACATTCAGCAGGTTAGTTCTCATCCACATTGACCGTCTGTAGATTTTTGAATGTGGTAACAGGCACGAAAGTTACCAACGTGTAGAACTTGTTTGGTGAATCCATCTTCATTACGTTTTCTGGACAAACGTACTCGGATGCGACATGGGACACTCCTTATTCCCTTGGCCCAGACGGCTTTATTGAGCCTGGCGTCAATGCGCACATCTGGAGTCCCCATTTCCTTCATGGCAAACTTCCGAATTTCTTTGAGTGCCCAATGAGCCTGCTTCCTGAAGCCCACTCCATGGATGCGCTTGTGAATGTTGATGGTGTATTCTTGGGTCACCACCTGGTTGATGGCAGAACGGCCCTTCTTCTTCTTGCCACCCTTCTTTGCGGGAGCCATTCTGCCGGGCCCAAGTTGGAAAGGAAGGGCGCAAGGAATTGTGGGTCCTTTGGCTTTCTTTAATTGGCATTTCGATTTTGATAGTTACAGAGGTTTCAAGAAAGAACTTTGAAAGATTCAAAATCCGATGCAGAGCGGAAGTTCAGCATGGGGTTCATGGGAGAGCATAGGAACAGTGAGTTTTTTTGTTTTTGTTTTTTTTTTGAGACCAAGTCTTCACTCTTTCTACTCCTCGTTGTTCCAGTTTGCGTTTCTATACTGTAAACACTGGGAATCCTGGGAGCCTCTTAGCTGTAAGTCTGAAGTAGAGGCGGCTTTGGAGACAACGGCTTGTTAGGTGTCTTTATAAGTTAAAAATCTCATCTGAGGCTGAAGAGGTGGCTTGGCCGGCAGAGAATTTGTCACGAAAGCATGAAGACCTTGATCCTCAGAACTACTGAAGTTACCAGGAGTGGTAGTGAACACGCTTGTGGTTCAGTACTGGTGAATCAGAGACAGGAAGATCTCTGTGGCTCACTGCTCAATCAGCCTAGCCCAATTCACAAGCTCTAGACCCCAGGGAGAGACCCCGTAGAAAGTGGCTGGAGAGATGGCTCAGCAGTTATGGGCACAGACTGTTCTTCCAGAGATCCTGAGTTCAATCTCAGCACCTACATGGCAGCTTACAAAGTCTGTAACGCCAGCTCTAGGAGATTCAGTATCCTCAAATAGACATACATACAGGCAAGACACCAACGCACATTAAATAAATAAACAAATGAATATTTTAAAAAGTGTTAAAAATTATAATGAATGATGATTAACTAAAACACAAGCAAACCAAACCAAACCAGAACAAAAACTCATAAACAAGAACAGAGTAGATGGTCCTTAGGAACAATACTAACGTTGACTTCTGTTCTCCACATGCATGAACACACATGTGGACACATGTGTACAGATGCAAGAATTGTGTTAACACACATTCATGTGTACACACACACACACACAAACACACAACAGAAATAGTGGCCAGAACACGAATAAATTAAACTGATGCGGATATCTGTCTCTGCAAACCATAATTAGATTCTTCCAGCAATTGCCATGCAGAATGGCTGCCTCCCTTTACTTTCTCCAATTAGACAGGAGGCTCTTCCTGAGGCCGAGAGAAATCCACTCGCCATTGTCTCCTGGGGGGTTGGGGGGGGGGACGAGCTCAGTTCCTGCAGCTGATGTAGGCTTTGTTTTGAACATGGGAAGCTAGGCTTGCAGATGCTATTGAATATTGAGGAGCGTAGGAGTTAATGATACGTTGTGAGTCTACCCGCCGCCTTGCGCCGTGTCCCGATTCAGGTTTTAAACTGCACCCTCCTCCGAGTCTTCCGTGCTAAAGGTTGCATGTTGAAAAGTGAAACAGATGGTCTAGTTTTGTATTTCTTGCCTTTTACAACTTCTTTGGCAGCTCGGGAATCCTGGTCCTCTGGGATTCCGGATTATATTTCGGCCCTATTATACGTATATCAGTTTCGA